CAAGGAAGGGAGCCTCACTCATCCTCCTCTCCCATCCTGGTTCTGTCCTTATCTGCGTCTGAGGCCGTCTGCACCATCATGTCCTGTTCTCCTTTCTGCTCAAGCTAGCTGTCGCGAGTTCCCGTGACACAGGCACCGACACAGCCCTCATCTCTGGCCGCGGGCACCCTGCGCTCGGACCTCCAGGCCGGGGAGCCGAAGCAGGCTGGTGACTCTGCTCACTCTGTGGCCTTGTGGGTCAGGATGGGAGGGGTCTGTGGTGGCCGCTGCCATCCTGCCAGGACTGGGAAGCATGTGAGGGCTGGCCTTCCTCCCTTCCGCACCTGTGAAGACAGCCCCCACCCCAGCGGGGAGGGGGCCTTGCAACCAGAGCTGCAGGCTCCAGGGCCTACGGACTGTGAGGTCTCTGGCCTAGCCCCACACCATACACAGTGGAAGCTCTTTGCACATTCTGGAGTGGGTCCATCCCACTGCCCCCTTCCAGGTCCTTGAATAAAGAATTATGAGCACACACACGGGTCCTGTGGAGTCAGGTGTGCACAGCTAGGCTCTGGCCTCTCCGAGGAGGCCACCACGGCCCAGACCTCCAGCCCCCTTCCTGGACCCATGTCCCCGGGGTCCACCTCACCCCCTGGTGGGTGGCGGAAAGAAACAGATGCGGGAGGCCACAGCGTAGAGTCTGTCATTTATAGGTCTCTACCATCCTCGTCCATCCGTCCGTCCGTCTGTGTGTATCTCTACTGAAGGGGTGAGGGGGACTCATGTAAAAATCCCAAATCCAATCCTGACCAACCACGTGCAGTGCTGGTCAGTCCCCGTGTGGCTGGGGTCTAACTGAGAAAACAGGTGGGGGTAAGTAGCGTCTTGACCCTGTGGGCGTGGGTGGGGCTCCCCTGCTGCCCCCAGGAAATCTGGAGTCCCTGGTAAAGGCAGACAGGGAAACAGCTGCTCGTCATCAGAAAGATGGTAGACTGGGACACCTGGGTGGCTCAGTGGGTTAGGCCTCTGCCTTTGGCTCAGGTCATGATTCCAGAGTCCTGGGATCAAGCTCCGCATCGGGCTCTCTGCTCATTGTGAAGCCTACTTACCCCTCTCTCTCTCTGCCTGCCTCTCTGCCTACTTGTGCTGTCTGTCAAATAAATAAATAAAATCTTAAAAAAAAAAAAAAAAGATGGTGGATTCAGGTCTGGCTTAACCAATCTCCAGCCTTCTCTGTTCAGTTTCCCGATGTCTTTGAGACGCAGTTTTCTTTTCTTTCTTTTTTCTAAAGATTTTATTCAGCCACTCATGATAGGAGGGAGAAGAAGGCTCCCCACTGAGCAGGGAGCCCAATGTGGGACTCGATCCCCGGACCCCGGGACACAACCTGAGCCGAAACCAGAGGCTTAACGGACCGAGCCATCCGGGGGCCCGAGACTCAGTTTTCCTATCTGCAGAATGGCCACCTGTCACCTCCTTGCACGGCCCTGGATGGAGAAGTGACACACAAGAAGGCGCAGCCTCCTGCTGCAGGCGAGGTCTGAAAGAGCACAGCTGGGCTACCGTTCGGCTGAGGCAACTGCGTGCTTCCAGGAGGCCCTGCAGCGCGCTGCCCAGCCTGCCACTGGGGAGTGGTGACCTGCGGTGCTCCTTCAAAATTTTGGCTCAGATGACAGAGCCCTAAGGGCAGGATCCAGAGGGCCTGATGGGTCCTGCCAGCTGTCTGAGACCGAGCTCAGCAGGCTGGGGGGAGGGGCAGGGGCTCACCTGGCTCTCCGTGTCGGGGAAGAGGAGTGTCCCTGCCTGTCGTGGGAGCTCTGGAAATGGTCCATAGCCAGCTCTGAGTGTACAGGTGTGACCAGGGCAATTCAAGCGGTTTCTCGGGTATCTGATGAGCTAACTGCAGGAAGTGCCGTGCCCCCAACTCCCCACCCTGAGACCCAGCCCCTCCAGAGTGACCTCTGACCACTGGCAAGCACAAGGGCTACCTGGGACGGGCCCTGGCCTTGGTGCCCTCCAGCTCCTCGGTGTCTGCTTAGTTGCACTCCAGCTCCCAAAGAAAACGGAACTGCACTGATCAGGCTGGGCGAGGGTGGGGCCAGAAAGGCACCAAAGCCCCAAATTTAAGAAGCCCCCTCCCTCCAGCCGCCTGGCCTCCAAGAGGCTCTAAAAATAAGTGCATCCTTAAACTCTGCCATCAGGCATCTCCCAGGCTCATCTGGCCCTGATCCCTAAGCCAGAAAGGCCTGATTCATGGACAGGCCCAGTGGGCGTGGGAGGCACAGGCTGTAGGTCAGGGGAGCTGTGGCACACCCTTAGGCTGTGCTCATGGTGGCCAAGTTCCCTCCTGGCGGCAACAGGAGCCGCAGGGGTCCTACAGGACTGTCTGGGGGGCAGCTGCATCTCTAAAGAGCCTTGCTCATTCAGCTGAGATGCCGTGCCCAGCGCATCTTCGACGGTGAGGGTCTGAGGGTCAGTAAGCCAACACAACTCTCTGGGGCAGCGACCTGTGGTCTGTCCCTCAGGCTGGGCAGGGGAAGTTCAACAGCCTCGGGAGCAGGAGACGGTCCCACTGGCCGGAGGGTTTCTGGGGCTGGACCCCTGCCCCACCTTACTCAGCCTTGAGAATCAGCCACCATACCTCTGACTGCCCCTCATCCCCTAGATCAGACATAGTGTTGCTCTTGGTAGAACTGTGAGAAAACTTCCAACACAAAGGGGAAGACACCAAAAGCAAGCACTCAGAGCTTTCTAAGGCCTCGGAGAGCCAGACTCTAGGCCACAAGTCTGCAGAAGACCCGGTTTGGACTTTTTTGGTAGAGGCCACAGGTACAGAACCATCTCCCACCTCTGAGCCAGGCAGCTCTCCGGGCCCGTGCCCGGCCTGGGAAGAGCTTCCTTCCACTACTGAGCTACTGTGTGGTTTCTGTGTTCACTGTTAGTCCCAGCCCCTACCACTATGTCCTGCTTGACCCGCATATAGACCGGGAAGGGTCAAATACTCATGCTCCAGCCAGCCAGTTCCCCATCCCCCTCTCTCCCCTGAATCCGATTCCCTCTCACCTTCCCACCCACCGCCCCACACCAACAGGGTTCACGGGCAGCCACTGTAAGTGAAAGCTGTCACAGGTCTGACTGTTCCTGTTCAAAGGCCTTGCCCAGAACACAGGCTGCGGGTCCTGGAGAGTAACCTGGTGCCACGTCACCCACATGCCTCACAGTCTGTCAGCAGCAAAAGCAAGCAGATTAAGGGGCACCCTAGCAGGTGGGATGATCACCCTAGCAGAATTAGGTTTGGAATATCCCAGAGCATCTCTGATCCCCCTCCCTGATTAGGGTTAAGAGTGTTTCCTGGAAATTAGGGGAAGGAAAAAAAGGAAGAAGGAAGGTAAAGGAAGACAGAAATGTGGGGTCACTTCCTTCGGTTAGGAAACTCTGAGGTCTGGAAAGTGGGGATGGCGGTAACTCCGCAGCGTGTGGGAAAGCACGCTCCTCCTCCTCAGGGTCCTGGCTCGTCATCACAGAAGCAGGGAGTGCCCACACATGCAAGTCACTGAGACCAACACAAAGGGTCCCTACTCAGAACGCTGGTGATACCTAGTCTCTTTATTTCCAGTCTTCAGGCAGAGCAGGGCTTGGGCAAACAGACAACCCAGGAGTTAGCTTCAGCCTAAACATTTCTTCATTCCTAATGGCTTAAGAGCATGAAAGGGAAGTGCTTAGCAGAGTCTGAGAAAGCCAGCGTTCCAGCCCTCCAGAGGTCAAACACATTTGAGGCACCCACAGGCTCTGCATGACCAGGGTGGCCTTTCTTCAGGTCACGCGTTTGCCAGCCCTGGGGTGTGGCTCTGGCCTTCCCCAGACAGGACACCACAGGATGGGGAACAGCAGAGTCCGATATTCGACTCCAAACACTCCCTGATTTACCTCGGCAAAACCGGAGCTGTCCGGTCTTGCAGGGTCAAACCTTGTAAACAAGCCCGCTGCCAGGCAACTGAAGACGGGGACTTCATTAAGACGCCCTGTGAGGCACGAAAAACAAAGCCGCTCCAGGGACACCCAACTTTAGCATGTCTGGGCAGGGGTTCGAGACCAACTTGAACTTTATGACGTTTTACTTTCTGTTTTCCTTCCTTTCGCCTCTGCACTGGAGCAACGCCCTCCAATTCACGCGCCACGTCCTAATTTTCTCCTAATAGCTGCCGCCACACCACCCTGGTAACTCATTTGGGAAGATAGAGAGGGTCAGCTGGGTACAATGATCGCCAGCGAGACCCGGTACTGCTCCAAGGAACGACTCACTTCCGCGATTGTCCAACAGTTAGCGAAAGACTAACTGGGGAGGAAGGAGAGGCCCTTCCTCCACAGCCCGGGGACACTCGGCGTGGCAGGAGCCGACAGGAGCGAGCTCCGCACGCTCTTCCGGCGAACCCCGGCCCTGAGTCCCGCCTCCACATCCCACTCCTCCCGTGGACTGGCCCCGGCCCCTCACCGGGCTCCAGCAGATAAGCGCGTCGGTGTCCGGGTCGCTCACGAGGGTCCACAGCTTGGTCAGGAAGGCCGGGACGTTGCTGGGCCCCGCCGCGCCGGGGCCCACGGGCAGATCCATACCGGGCTACGCGGGGAGAAGCGGAGATGATGACCGCGAAAGGGGGCCGAGGGCCGGGCTAGTGCCGCCGACGCGCCTGCCGCCGGGGTAGCGCCACCGCCGCCGCCCGCTGCGCACACACAGCCCCGCGGCCTAGCATGGCCGCAGCCATCTTGTGACGGGCGCGCTACCGCCGGCGCCGCCCGCCCGCGTCGGCCCGGCGCGCGCACGCCGGCCCCGCCCTGTCCGCCCGTCCGCCCCGTCCGCCCCGTCCGCCCCGCCCCCTTCTGAGCCTCTCCGCAGTGCGCCTGCGCCTGCTAGCCCCGCCCCATTAACCGGGCCGGGAAGGGCGGGGCGGGCCGCGCCCACTGACCCCACAGGCCCCGCCCCATTCCCACGTGGCCCGCGCTGCCGGAAGTGGCGGCGCGGTCGGGACTGGCTAGGTAGCATGGCGGGCGCGCGGGACGCGGGGCGCGCGGCGGCGACGGAAACGCGGCCTGGGAAGCGGCGGCGAGGGCCGGAGCCGGAGCCGGAGCCGGAGGAGGTGACAGCGGGCGCGGGTCCGAGCGGCGGGGTCGGGCGGCGGGGCCTGGGCCCGCACGTGGTGGCTGGTCTGCCCTCCGCGAGGCCGCCCAGTGCGCGGCGGGCCCGGGAGTAGGAGCAGGGAGGGGTCGCCTGCCCTGCGCGGCCTTAGCAGGGAGCACCCCCTGCGCGGGGGGCGGCCGCAGCGGGAGGCGGAGGCGGGGGGGACGCGGCGGGCCGGAGAGGCGGCCTCCCGAAGCCGCGGGCCCGGCGTCCCGACCGCTGCTGCGCGGGGACGTGCTGTGGGACGAAGGACGCTAGGGAGGGAAGAACCGGGGCTTACGGCCGCCGGCGCGTCCTCCCGCGGGCGCAGGGCCGCGCCGGCTGCGGGTGTCGGGCTCCTGGGCTGCGGAAGGTCCGGCCGGGCAGCGGCTCTGCCGCGAGAGAGGTGAGGCCGGTCCAAACCCCGGAAGCGCAGGAGGTCCGGGGTTCTGTGCTCAGAGGCTTCCGAGAAGTCTGCAGCTTCTTGTTCGTCTTTAAAAAAAAACAGGTGCGGGGGCCCCCCCCCCCCCCCCGGGCCTCGTGTCCTGTAGGGAGGGTTAGGGGAGATGGTATCCGGTAAGCAGGGGGAGGGAAGGGTGGGTTACGCTTGTTTTTAAGCCAGACTTAGATCATTTTTGTCACTGTTCAACCCACCTTTACAGTTTGCTGATCCACTGCCGGTTTCCATCCAGTTGGCTACGGGCTTCTCTTTCAGAGAGAAAAGCCCGTTGGCCATCCTGTTCCTCTGTGGGCCTCAGCCTCTGGCCCAGCACCGTCATAGCTCTGGGGTTTGCCAGCGTAGGAGGATGGGGAGCCTGGGTTGGAAATGTGGTGGGAACTGAGCTCTAAGAGATGGTGTCCTTGGAAACTCCTTTCCCTGTGAGATGCAGGAAACGAAATGTCCCTTCCAAGGGCAGGTGGCCGTGCTGTCAGTGGAGGTGGACAGTGAGGAAGGTTCCACCTGGGTTAGGTGGATGGTTTTGGTGGAGGTAGACGCTTGTGGCCTGAGGGCTATGGCCTTGGAGGCTGGCCATGCAGAGCCATGGGTCAGCAGGGTGCCTGGCGGGTGGTGGGTGGCCTGGGGGGGGGGGTCTTGCTGTTATCAACACTGTGCTCCCCGCAGTCGTCTCTCGCCTGTGCTGCTGCTCCCAGCCTCCGGGATGACGGCGACTCTGGCCTGTCTGAAAGCGAGGAGAGTGTGTTCTCAGGCCTGGAAGACTCCGGCAGTGACAGTAGTGAGGACGACCCAGCAGAGGGAGAGGATGGGGTCAGCAGTGATGAGGGCCACGGTGGGACGGAGAAGACCACTGGACAGCAGGTGGGTGAGTGAGGAGCCTGCCGGTAGGCTGTCCTCTCTAGGTGAAGGTGGCCAGGAAAGAAAGTGACCACCAGGCCTTAGGCTCTCTGCGGGCCTGTCCCCACACTGCTTTCTCCCAAGTGTCCTTGGGACCCCAAGGCCCACGTCCCTCCCCTGATGCACCTGTGGGCACATTTGGGGCCAGGTGGAACACTTGGTTAGAGCTGGAGTGCTTTGAGCTCTTGGGGGTTGTTCTCTTGTTTTTTAAAGGGTTTTATTTATTTGATAGGTAGCAATAGATCACAAGTAGGCAGAGCAGCCGGCTTCCTGCTGAGCAGAGCCCGATGCGGGGCTCGATCCCAGGACCCTGGGATCATGACCTGAGCCAAAGGCAGAGGCTTTAACCCACTGAGCCACCCAGGCGCCCTTCTTAGGGCTTGTTTTTCAATTACAGTTACGTGCTCTGTTCTCAAGAACTCCAGATATCCACATGCCAGACCCGCTCTGCAGGTGATTCTAATGTCCCCTCTCCGTGGAACTCAGCCGCTTTCAGCCGTAGGCTGGGTTTCCAGGGGGCGAAGCCCGAGGTTGGGCCTTCATGTGCACAGGACTACCTGGAGGCAGAGCTCACAGGACACGGGAGTGAGCCGTCCTGACACCTGAGCCTTGTCCCAGGGAGCCCTGCCGGCTGAGGCTTTGGCCTTGTGTCTGTCCCTGTGATGACGAGGAAGAGTGCATTTCCCTCTTGTCTCAAGTGAGAAAAATGAGAGAAAAGTTTAATTTAACTAAAATACACTGTTTGCTCTTTGGAAGTTTTAGAAACTAGTTTATAACTATTTGTATTTTCAATGGGTCTGGTGTTCTGAAGCTTATGACCTTGAATCGTGCAGAAATCTCCCATAATAGAAACCAAAAAGCCATGCTTGTTTGATCTGTTACCTAGGAAGAAAGGATTTAATGTCAGATTTAAACCTTTTTTTTTTTTTTTCAAGATTATTTATTTGAGAGAGAGAGAGAACAAGCAGGGGGAGGAGCAGAGGGAAAAGCAGGCCCCCTGCGGAGCAGAGAGCCCCATGTGCGACTCGATCCCAGAACCCTGGAATCCTGACCCGAGCCGAAGGCAGACGCTTAACCTACCGAACCCCCAGGTGGCCCAGATTTAACCCTTCTGCCCACTCAGGATCTAGTCCTACTGCCAGTGTGCACAGAGAGATGACGTGCGAGCTGCGTTGACTGTGGTTTGGGGGATGATGGGCAGCTGTTTCTCCTCCTTTTTTTAACTTTTTAAAATTACAAAATATACCTTCCTTGAGAAAAATTCACTCTTTCATCAGTGCTACTCAGTAGAGAGCGGAAGTTCTTCCTCACAGCCCGTGTTCCCATGGGCGGCCCCCGCTAGTAGCCCTCTTGGCGTGTCGTTTCTCCTTGCACAGTTAAGGGGCCACACACTTAAGTATTTTTTTTGTTTGTTTATGTTTCAAAGTAGGCTCCGTGGGCGCCTGGGTGGCTCAGCCCCCTGAATGCTTGCCTGCTTTTGGCTCAGGTCATGACCCCGGGTCCTGAGATCGAATCCCTTGTGGGGCTGCTTGCTCCGCGGGGAGCCTGCTTCTCCCTTGGCCTCTGCCGCTCCCTCTGCTTGTGCTCTCGAGTGCTCGCTCTCTCTTTGACAAATAAATAAATAAAATCTCGAACAGATAAATAAAGTAGGCTCCACGCCCAGCATGGCCCCTAACGCAGGGCTTAAACTCATGACTGTGGGAGCAAGACTTGAGCCAAGGTCCAGAGTCAGACACGTTAACAACTGAGGTGCCCCAGGGGGCCCCTAATTTTTTTATTTTAAAAAGGGGTTTTTTAATCTTATTTTATAAGTAAAGTTATAAAAATAATTTTTAAATTTATTTTTATAGAGAGTGTGGGCATGTACGTGCAGATGAGTGGGAGGCAGTCTCCCTGACCCGGATCCCAGGACCCTGAGACCATGACCTGAGCTGAATTCAAGAGTCGGATGCTGACCCAACCGAGCCACCGAGGTGCTCTAAAGATAATTTTTAAAAATTAAGTCACTTTTGGGGCACCTGGCTGACTTGGTAGGTAGAGCATGTAACTCTTGATCTCTGGGTCATGAGTTCAAGCTCTGTGTTGGACGTGAAGCCTACTTAAAAAAGTTAAAATAATTTTTTATTTTATTTTACTTTTTTATTTTTTAAAGATTTTATTTATTTGTCACAGAGAAAGCATGCGAACGAGCACAAGTAGGGGGAGTGGGGGAGGGAGAAGCAGGCTCCCCGCTCCACTGAGCAGGGAGCCCGACATGGGGCTCCATCCCAGGACCCTGGGATTTTGACCTGAGCCGAAGACAGATGCTTAACACGCTGAGCCAGCCAGGTGCCCCTTAAATCACTTTTTAAATAAAAATTTTCTGTTTGGGGTGCATGGGTGTCTCGGTCAGATAAGTATCCCTCTTTTGATTTTGGCTCAGGTTGTGATCTCAGGGTCATGGGGGTGAGCCCTGCTTGAGGCTCTGTGCTGGGCTTGGAGCCTGGTTAAGATTCCCTCCCTTTGCCCCTCTCCCCCTCAAAAGATTTCGGCTTAAGTTCTCTGAACTAGGTGACGTGTGCAAGTGTTTCAAGAGACTGCGGCCTGGGGTTCAGTGGGAGGGACACTTGTGGCTGTGGCCGCGTTCGGCTCCCCCCCGCCACCTCCCTCAGCGGCAGCTGTGCCCCTGCCGAGCTGCTTGTTCTCCTCGGAGCCACCTTCTGGGTGGGCTTGCTGGTCCATTTGGTGGAGACTGAAGCCCTCCCTTCTCCAGAAGGAGGGGGCAGACTTCTGTCTGGGGAGTTTGGCTCTGGCCTCCTGGAGGGCGCAGTTCTCAGAGGGCGAGGCTGCCTCTGGGTCCGCTGCACCCCGGTCGGCTGGCGGCCAGGACCTCAGCCCCCACGCTGTGTGCAGTGCTGGGGCCTCGTCGGTGCGGCACCCCCCTGGGCCCGTTCTGCTTCACGCCCTGGCTCTGAGGACTGTCCCTGTCTCCTGTGGGTCATCCTGGTGGGGAACCCCACGAATCAGGAGGGGTTCTGAGTTCTGCAGAGCCCCCGGGCTGCCCTGCGTGGCCATTCATGTCTCTGGCCTCTTTGTGCTTTCATCGAGGGGTATGGGTAGCCCCGTTGAGGTATTTTCTGTTCTAGTGCACGGTTGTCCTTTTACTAGGGTTGAGGTTCTCTAGGCCAAGAGAGAGGACTCAGGTGGGGACTGGGGGTTCCTAGTCCTCAGTGGAACAAGCTCCCCAGCTCTCCTTTTTGCCAGCTGCTCCCCAAAAGCCATCCACGCCCTTCCATTGGGTCGAGCTGGCTCCCCGCTGCATGGCCTGAGCCCTGTTGCTAGCGCACAGCCTCATAGCTGAAAACCGACCCCTCCACTGAGCAGCTTCTGGAGCTAGTGTCTCCCTGCTGCCTGCGGTCCTGTGGACCCCTGCCGGCAGTGACTCCCACTTGGGCCCGGGTCCCCGCCCGCTGTCCCCGCTCTGGAACTGAAAGCCCCCGGAATTCTCTGGCTCCTGGCCACAGCCGCCTGTGTGGTCTGGCGGACGGCGGTCTCAGGTGAGCTACTTCTGCAAGGGGGGACCCGCTCGGGCTTCTTCCGCTCTTCCTTCCGCCCATGGCGATGATGCTGTGGGGCTTGCCCCTAACTTCTCTTCCACTGGGTGCTCCTGTCACTGTTTCCCCTGCACTCTGTCCCCCTTAACCTGTGTCAAGGCTTCCACCGCTTCCAAGGGTGGGCAGGCCACCACCCAGCTCCTTGACTTCTCACTCTCCTGCATGTGCCTGAAGGGCACCCTGCCTCCTGGTGGGGCTGCGCGCTGACATCAGGGATGCAGGGCCTGAGGCCGAGAGCTGCAGAGAGAGATGCGGACTGGAGTGGGATGCCCCAGGCCCAGGCCCTCCAGTCCACTGAGTGACCTCCACAACAGGAAGCTGGAGGGTTTGCCTTCCTGTTCTGGGAGGGACAGGGCTGATAGGTCATTGTCAGGGGACCCTGCCCCACAAGTCCTGGGTTCCAGGTATGTCTGCCACAGGCCATCCCAGACTGGCATGCACATCCTGCTGAAGCCATCCAGGGATGAAAATGGATGGCCAGGTGATCACTGGCCCGTTCTGGGGGGACTCTCCTGATCTACGCCTTCCTTTCCCATGGGAGAGAGATGGGGTTACATGGCCCAGGTGCCCAGGGTTGCCCTGGGGAGACATGGCTGCTTGGGTGCCAGGCTGCCCTAGGCACCACTGTGTGTGAGCTCCTTCTCCACTTCTTCTTGGGTCTTTGGAAGGGATCTAGACATGTCCAGCACTTCCCCCACCCCCAAATTTTATGTATTTATTTGACTGACAGATCACAAGTGGGCAGAGAGGCGGGGGGGGGGGAAGCAGGCCCCCTGCTGAGCAGTGAGCCTGATGTGGGGCTCGATCCCAGAACCCTGAGATCATGACCTGAGCCAAAGCCAGAGGCTTAACCCACTGAGCACCCCCAGGTGCCCCCAGCACTTTCTTTTTAAGTGTTGTGTGGGGTCACGTGACGAGCATCACAGATCCCAGCAGAGTGATTGCTCAGAGCTCCTGAGGGCCGTCCCTCCTGCTCTGTCCTGCCTCCTGCTCCGGCGTAAGCGTGAGGACTGTGCCTGGGGCTTCCTGGGTTCTCCGCACAGCCAGGCTCCCATCCGTGTCATGCCCGTCTGCTTCCTGACTCCTGTCCTCTGCGCGTCCCTCTGCCTCTGAGGGCTGTCCTTGCCAGTTGGTGTCTGTGGTGTGCATGGGCCCCGCAGCCTGACCACCCCTGGGGGATGGGGATATCCGCGTGTGTGCTTGTTCTCACGCGCGCAGGCAGTTCTTGGAGTGCGGTCCCAGGAGCGTCTCCGGGTCAAAACCAGGGCATTTTGAGTGGAAGGAAAGTGCCGCGTCGTGCTGTGATACTTGCATGTTTCCCGGCCTGCCAGGACGGTGTGTGGTTAAAAGTCTTTGTTTCCTACTCTGACGCGT